ACAACAGTATGAAAGTCAATTGACAGAGGAGGGCATGAGGTGCTCTCAGTGCTCTGGGGAGGAGAGCCTCACCCAACCTGGGGGAAGTGTGTGTGTGTGTGTGTGTGTCAGGGAAGGCATTCTGGGACGGTGATATCTGAGCTGTGACTTAATTATGAAAGTAGGAGGTGATCAGGGGCTGGGACCAGGCAGGGCAGAGATGGGCATTCCCAGCAGGAAGGAAGGGTGAGGATAGCCCAAAGGGCCAAGCACCCTAGGCAGTAGGGAACTGTTAGTCACTTAACAGACATTTCCTGAGTGCCAGACACGTGTTATGTCAGGCACTACGCTTGATACGTGGGATACAGAGGTGAGCACAATGGACACCAGTTCCTGGCCTCATGAAGCTTATAATTTAGTGCAAGCATGTCAAACTCAAAGGCTAACACGGGCCAAATAAATGAGGCATGTGGCCCACGGACCATGAGTTTGACATGCTTGTTCTGGTGGAATAGAACTCTTTTAAAGCTGAGGAGTGATTTGACTTGAACTCTTTAAAGCTGTGAGGGCTTTCACTAGAACAGCAATCACCCAGTTGAAAAGTGAGGAATTTATTTGAGAATTACTTAGGGGCCTACTTAGGGGCGAAAATGGGCAAGACTTGATGCCTGACTGTGTGGTGGGGATCGGGGACAATGTGTCCCAGGTGGTTCTGAAATTTATACCATAAACCAGTGGTTCTCAACCTTCCTAATGCCGCGACCCTTTAATACAGTTCCTCATGTTGTGGTGACCCCCAACCATAAAATTATTTTCGTTGCTACTTCATAACTGTGATTTTGCTACTGTTATGAATCGTAATGCAAATATCTGGTATGCAGGATATATTTTCATTGTTACAAATTGAACATAATTAAAGCATAGTGATTAATTACAAAAACAATATGTAATTATATATAGTTTTTCTGATGGTCTTAGGCGACCACTGTGAAAGGGTCGTTTGACCCCCAAAGGGGTCGCAACCCATGGGTTGAGAACCGCTGCCATAGGCGGATGGGGTTATACCTACTGGGATCAAGAACAAAGGTTGAATGTATAGAAGGTTTGGTGGAGAGAGTTTAGCTTGGACTTGCTGAGCGAGATGGACATCTCTGTATGGAGACAATTTAGCAGCAGTTTGACCATACAAGTCCAAAGACCAAAGAAGAGATTCAGAGACATACATTTTGTAGCACATGGGTGATAATTCCTATCACAACAGTGGAAGGAATTGTCTAATGAAAACATGAAACATGACAGGAAGACCTGAAGTATGTCCAAAATTAAGGCACAAAAGAAAAAAAAAGTCATGAAGGGAAGAAGAAGGAAAAAAGCCACCAAGGGACAGCTTCATTCAGGTGGAAGAAGAGCTTGGGAAGTTGCAGTGTGTCTGTGGGAAGGTTGCTGGGACAGTGTAACTCACTGAGCTCTGGTGGAGTGCTGAGTATGCCCTCTACGTTGTGCTGAGCCAGGAAAGAACAAGACAGGGAAGATTCATATACTAGCTTGGCCCTGGAGGAGCCTGTAGCTAAGGAGGTCATCCCTTCTATGTCACTATTTGACATTGACTCTCAATGTCAAGTTAGAGTATAGACTCCATGATCTCAAAGGTCTTTCCAGTCTGGTTTTTTCATCTAGCCCAGTGAGTATCTCTTGGAGAAGTGGTTCTCAGACACTTAAAGAATCACATACCCGTTTGAGAATTTGAGGAAAATGATGATAGTTATGGACTCTATCCCCTTGGGGGGGGGGAATGCAAGTATGTACATAAGCACAATTATTGTTAAATTAAGACCCCTCCTTCTATAGAATGTCCATGAACTTTAGATTAGGACCTCTTGTCTTCACAGATTTTCAGTAGATGAGAACATAGACATTGCTTACTCTGAAATGATATACATTGAAGAAAAGAGCCTCTTTGGGACTTAATTTAGAACCATGACTAAGGTTTGCTGTACATCTAATGCAATGCATCACTGATTTTATTCTGTCAGCTTTATTTTACAAGTGGCCCCAAGCAACTCACAACTTCACAGATATATGATGTACATAATCAAATGCACATATTTTATTTTAAAAACAATAATGATGTTCGGTGTAACCACATTACAGTCACAGGGATATGATCTTGCAACTGAGATTCTCTAGTGGATGGATTTGGGGGGAGTTCTTTCTGATTAGGGCTGTCCTACATATTTATACTCGAAGAGTTCATGAGCTATTTCTGATCCTGAGACTTTAATCATGCTTAATGAACTGAGCTAAACATAATTCTTCTTCTGTTTTGGTAACCTTGTGGATTCTCTTAATGCTTAGCTTCATGTGAGGACACTGTTCTTGAAATGCTAATATCCAAAATGCTAATTCAAGAGAGGGCCACAAAAGTTAGATTTCATTTCAGAGAAAGTGCCCTCAGTACTCACAGGCCCTTCCCAGGAAGAGCAAGGCGGTGAGAAGAATGAGATTAGGTGGAAAATATTGGCTCCTACCTTTGGTGAACACAAAAATTTAAACATATAGGTTGCACAAAATTTGGATAAACTGAGGTGGAATCCAACATTTCTTGCATGAATGCCTGTATAATGTGGCGATAG